AGGCAACAGACCAAGACCCTGTCTCAAAAAAAAAAAAAAAAAATTAATTAATTAAAAAAATACCATATGACCCAGCCATCCCATTACTGGGTATATACCCAAAGATTATAAATCATGCTGCTATAAAGACACATGAACACGTATGTTTATTGCGGCACTATTCACAATAGCAAAGACTTGGAATCAACCCAAATGTCCATCAGTGACAGACTGGATTAAGAAAATGTGGCACATATACACCATGGAATACTATGCAGCCATAAAAAAGGATGAGTTTGTGTCCTTTGTAGGGACATGGATGCAGCTGGAAACCATCATTCTTAGCAAACTATCACAAGAACAGAAAACCAAACACCGCATGTTCTCACTCGTAGGTGGGAACTGAACAATGAGATCACTTGGACTCGGGAAGGGGAACATCACACACCGGGGCCTATCATGGGGAGGGGGGAGGGGGGAGGGATTGCATTGGGAGTTATACCTGATGTAAATGACGAGTTGATGGGTGCTGACGAGTTGATGGGTGCAGCACAGCAACATGGCACAAGTATACATATGTAACAAACCTGCACGTTATGCACATGTACCCTAGAACTTAAAGTATAATAATAATAAAAATTTTTTTAAAAAATTATAAAGTAGAAAAAGAATTGTATAGAAATTGAATAAAAGCAGAATTTGACTCAGTTTCAGAAAGAACTTTCTAATAAGCATAACTTTACACCATAAGTAGAGCCTGCCTTGCAGAATAATTGGAAACCTGCCATCGGAAATATTCACCCAGAGGACCTTCCTACATCGCCTGGTGAGTCACTGACTAAAGGCACATTGTGATTGTTATTACTCCAAGTGACCACAAGATGGCAGCAGCAGAGAACATCCCACCGGTGATCAAGTAGAAAAAGTAGAAAATTCTAGCTGTTTCCACAATTTTTTTTTTTTTTTTTCAGGTGGTGTCTCACTCTGTCGCCCAGGCTGGAGTGCAGTGGCACAACCTTGGCTTACAGCAAACTCCACCTCCTGGGTTAAAGCGATTCTCCTGCCTCAGCCTCCCGAGTGGTTGGGGTTACAGGCGCCCACCACCATGCCCCACTATTCTTTGTATTTTTAGTAGAGATGGGGTTTCACTATGTTGGCCAGGCTGGTCTCGAACTCCTGGCCTCAGGTGATCCACCTGCTTCAGCTTCCCAAAGTGCTCGGATTACAGGCATGAGTCACCGCGCCCGGCCATTTCCACAAATTTGATTCTGAACTCTAACCGTGATGATAGGTGTTATGTCCATTATTATAAGCCCTTATAGATTTCTGATACACAAAACTGAGAAAGTAGAAACATTTCCCCCAAATTTTATATCTTACTATTAGAAAATAAGGAATCTGAAGGTCGGGTGCGGTGGCTCATGCCTGTAATCCCATCACTTTGGGAGGCTGAGGCAGGTGGATCACCTGAGGTCAGGAGTTCCAGACCAGCCTGGCCAACATGGCAAAACCCTATCTTTAGTAAAAATACAAAAATTAGCCGGGCATGGTGGTGCACACCTGTAATCCCAGCTACTTGGGAGGCTAAGGCAGGAGAATCGCTTGAACCCAGGAGGCAGAGGTTGCAGTGAGCCAATATTATATCACTGCACTTGGGCAACAGAGCAAGACTCCGTCTCAAAAAAAAAAAAAAACCAAAGAATCTCAGAGGTAGAAAGAGGTAAGCCCTGATCAGTGAGGTTTATCCTGAATCAGAGAAAATGTGCTTCTTACATTCTGATCATGGTGCTACTTCCATCTGACTGCACAGTTTCCAAGCCTAATCATTGTGTACCTTCCAAGAGAGGGAGTCTGTATTTGAAATAGCCTCAATAATGAGGTTGCATATTAGTCTCAGCCTATGTTGGCTTATGGTTCTCACAGAAAAAATTATCCACACTGCTAATCTTCTTGCTGCACCAGCCTCAAAGTCTACAGAAAGACGTCTCAGGCCGGGCACGGTGGCTCAAGCCTGTAATCCCAGCACTTTAGGAGGCCGAGACGGGCGGATCATGAGGTCAGGAGATCGAGACCATCCTGGCTAACACGGTGAAACCCCGTCTCTACTAAAAAATACAAAAACTAGCCGGGCGAGGTGGCGGGCGCCTGTAGTCCCAGCTACTCGGGAGGCTGAGGCAGGAGAATGGCGTGAACCCGGGAGGCGGAGCTTGCAGTGAGCTGAGATCAGGCCACTGCACTCCAGCCCGGGTGACAGAGCGAGACTCCGTCTCAAAAAAAAAAAAGAAAGACGTCTCAGCTCTAGGAGCTTAAATAACACCTCTACTGGGGAGCTGAAATATACCAGTGATTCAATGAAGCAGATTAGTATCAGAGTTCTCTTTGCAACCCTGAGGCCAGTCAATCCTACCAGCCCTTGCCTCCATCTGTGGTGGTCAGCCTCCAAGATGGCCCCCTATGATCTTTTCCTCCTGCTATCTATGCCCTTGTATCGTCCCTATCACACTGAATAATGGCTAGTCTGAGTGACTGACAAGATATGTAGAAGTAGTGGTGCATTTCTTCTAAGGCTAGGCCATTAAAGACACTTACAGCTTCTTCTGCCTTGCTATCTTGGATCATTCACTACAGAGGAAACCAGCTGCCATATTGTGAGGACACTCAAGCAGCCCTATGGAGAGGTCCACATGGGGAAGAACTGGGGTTTCCTGCCAATGGCCAGCAGTTTGCCAACCACATGAGGTCCTCTAGCCCCATTCAAGCTGGCAGATGGCCACAGCCCTAGGTAACATCACAAGAGACCCCAGGTCTAAACTGCCCAGATCTGTTTCTCCTGAATTCCTGACACACTGAATCTGAGATGTTTATTTTTGTTTTAAGCTACTGTGTTGTTTTGTTTTGTTTTTGAGATAGGGTCTTGCTCTGTCACCCAGGCTGGAGTGCAGTGGCACAATCTCGCTCACTGCCACTTCCACCTCCTGGGTTCAAGGGATTCTCATGCCTCAGCCTCCCAAGCAGCTGGGACTACAGGCCTGTGTCACCACGCACAGCTAAATTTTTTTTTTTTTTTTTTGAGACGGAGTCTCGCTCTATCGCACCGGCTGGAGTGCAGTGGCCGGATCTCAGCTCACCGCAAGCTCCGCCTCCCGGGTTTACACCATTCTCCTGCCTCAGCCTCCCGAGTAGCTGGGACTACAGGCGCCCGCCACCTCGCCCAGCTAGTTTTTTGCTTTTTTTTTTTTTTTAGTAGAGACGGGGTTTCACCGTGTTAGCCAGGATGGTCTCGATCTCCTGACCTCGTGATCCGCCCGTCTCAGCCTCCCAAAGAGCTGGGATTATAGGTTTGAGCCACCGCGCCCGGCCAATTTTTTGTATTTTTAATAGAGATGTGGTTTTGCTATGTTGGCCAGGCTGGTCTTGAACTCCTGACCTCAAGTGATCTGTCTGCCTCGGCCTCCCAAGGTATTGGGATTACAGGTGTGAGCCACTGGGCCCGGCTTAAGCTACTAAATTTTAAAGTAATTTGATATGCAGCAACAGGTAACTAATACAACACCCCAAATGCCACCATCCCTGACCATATCCACTCTCTTCTCACTTTCCTCTCTGTACTCTGGCCACTGTCCTTACTATTCTGGCTAAGTAATAATAACCTGCTAACTTTGAAACATAATAGACATTTTCCAGACCTCGCATTACTGCATCTCTCTGCATAATATTTACCATGGGAAGAATCTTCTTGAAAATTCCTATTCTCTGACTTCCTTGACACTGTTCTGACCTTGTTCTCCTGATTTTCTCATTCAGGTCTTCCTGTCCGAATGAAAAAATCATTCAGGTTTTCTCCTGAATTGTTCTCCTGAACAATTTTTCATTCAGGTCTTTCTCCTTCAAAAATGCTCCTTTTCCACATGATACATAAAATGTTGGCCTTATGTCAAATTCGATTCCTGTTCTCTCCTTTTGACCCTGAACAAACTCCTTGGGCTGTCTTGCTGTTCCTCTAGTTCCAATGACCATCACTTTGAAGATGAGCACCAAATCTATCTCTCCAGCCCACATCACAGTCCTGAACCTCATACCCTTAAATCCACCTACCCACAGGCAGTGGTGTGCTGGAGCCTGCTTGTACCAACTTGTGAGAGCCAAGAGTGCACATCTCTTCTCAATTCTATATTTAGCAATGCCACGTTGGCAGCTTGAATACCAATGTGGGAGTGTTGACATTGTGGAATTCAACAAATGCTACAAATTGGAACTTTTTCCACTATGAGCCAGTTGATAAACATTTGCCAGCACACCACTGCTCTTACCAGATGCTTCTGCCTTCTGTGTCCCATAAATACCTCAATTCAACATGTCCCAAAATGTATTTTCTCATTCATTCAAAAATACTGGCTGAGTGTGTTGCCTCAAGCCTGTAATCCCAACACTTTGGGGGGCTGAGGCGGGTGAATCACCCAAGATCAGGACTTCAAGACCAGCCTGGCCAACATGGTGAAACCTCATCTCTACAAAAATACAAAAATTAGCCGGGCATGAAGGCAAGTGCCTGTAATCCAAGCTATTTGGGAGGCTGAGGCAGGAAAATTGCTTGAACCCAGGAGGCAGGGGTTGCAGTGAGCTGAGATCCTGCCATTGCACTCCAGCCGGGGCAACAGAGCAAGACTCGGTATCAAAAAAAAAAAAAATTATAACTGTTTTTTCAAGTTCTGTGTGAAGGATAAATATTCTCTGCCTTCAATAAACTTATTCTCTGTTGAAGGAGGCAGAAAGGTTCAACAGGCAATCTCAATAGCATAGTAAATGCTGTCTCACGCATTCTTGTGAAGAGACCACCAAACAGGCTTTGTGAGCATCAAGGCTGTTTATTTCACCTGGGTGCAGGAGGCCGGCTGAGTCTGAAAAAGGAGTCAGCAAAGGGTGGTGGGATTATCATTAGTTCTTAAAGGTTTGGGATATGCGTACAAAGTATCTTCTTAAGGGCAGGAGGAGAATATTACAAAGTACCTTCTTAAGGGCTGGGGAGAATGTATCTTTTCAGTTAGGGTAGGGCAGGAACAAATCACAATGGTGGAATGTCATCAGTTAAGGCTGTTTTCACTTCTTTTGTGGATCTTTAGTTGCTTCAGGCCATCTGGATGTATACACGTAGGTCACAGAGGATATGATGGCTTAGCTTGGGCTCAAAGGCCTGATATTCCTGTCTTCATATATTAATAAGAAAAACAAAACAAAATAGTGGTGAAGTGTTGGCGTAGCAAAAATTTTGGGGGGTGGTATGGAGAGATAATGGGCAATGTTTTTCAGGGCTGCTCCAAGTGGGATTAGGGGCGATATGGGAACCTAGAGTGGGAGAGATGAAGCTGAAGAAAGATTTTGGGGTCAGGGTGATATTGTGGGGTTGTTAGAAGGAGCGTTTGTAGTATAGAATGATTGGTGACGGCCTGGATGCGGTTTTGTATGAATTGAGAAACTAAATGAAAGACACAAGGTCTGAATAAGAGAAGGAGAAAAACAGGTATTAAAGGACTAAGAATTGGGAGAACCCAGGACATCCAATTAGAGAGCGCCCAAGGGGGTTCAGCATAATTATTTGCTTGGTTGGCGAGTTTTGGGGCTCTATCCTTGGGTTTTTTTATGTTGTCATATACCAGGTCAGATTGATTTAGGTAAAAACAACACTCTTCATTTAAAAATATACAGAGTCCTCCTTTTTCAGCAGTGAGTAAATTGAGGCCTTGGCGATTTTGGAGGAAAGAGAAATGCAAAGCCAGCAATTGTTTGTTGTTTGTTAAAGAAGGATTAGAAATGGCTAGGAGAGAGTGAGTGAGATTGATAGTGTGGTGGAGATAGCTGGAGAGAGGTAGAGGGTGGCATAAGAACAGGAACGAGAATAAGAGTGAGTATAACAGTAAAGAATAGGACTTCATCAGGGTGAAAGTGTTGGAACGTGTCCTGTCAGCAAAGATCATCTATCCACTCCAAGAGGGAGTCAAGAGTGGAGGATTAGGGATAGATATTCACGATGGAAAGGAAATGACAGGTTTTAAGAGGTGGACTAATGGCTTGTAACCTACATGGAAGAGGTTATGAAATGACGACAGAATAGAATGGGTCCGTGAGGCTGGAAGGAGATATTTTCCTTCGTTCAAGAACAATTTGCCCTGTGTGGGAAGAGATTGATAGGTAGAAACTTCAGTAGGAGAATAAATAGGAGTGACCAACTAGAAGGTGAAAAACTGGCCATGACGGACAGAAGTTGGAATGCTAGCTGCTTCTTTAGCTACCTTATCAGCATAAGCGTTGCCCTGAATGATGGGATCTGATGCCTTTTAGTGGCCCTTGCAGTGTATGACTCCAGCTTCCTTTGGAAGTAAAGTGGCCTTAAGAAGAGTTTTTATTAAAGAGGCATTAATGATGGAGGACCCTTGCATGGTGAGGAAACCTCTTCCAGCCCATATAACAGCATGGTGGTGCAGGATATGGAAGGCATATTCAGAGTCAGTATAAATATTGACACGTAGTCCCTTTGCAAGAGTGAGGGCTCGAGTTAAGGCAACGAGTTTGGCTTGCTGAGAGGTAGTGGAGTGGGGCAGAGTGGTGGCCTCAATGATAGATATGGAAGATACTATAGCATCGCCTGCCTTTCCTGGTGAGTGGCGATTAGGCCTGGTGGAACTGCCATCAATAAACCAAGTGTGATCAGGGTGAGGAACATGAAAGAAGGAAATATGGGGAAATGGAGTGAATGTCAGGTGGATCGGAGAGATACAGTCATGGGGGGTGGGGGCCAGCCTAAAACAGTAAGGTCAAGTTGTTTGGACAGAAAGGCTACCGGGCGTGGTCCCGGTTCTTATGTAATAATTTTGACCACACAGCCCTGTACTTTGGCTGTGTGTAATGAAAAGGGTTGGGATGAGTTAGGGAGAGCTAGTGTGGGGGCAACTTCTAGGGCTGTTTTTAAGGAACAGAAAGAGGAGTGGCGAAAGGATTTAGGATCTATGGGGTCAGCTAGGCTTGGTTTTGTGAGTTTATATAATGGTTTCGTTAGCATGGCAAAACCAGGTATCTTAAGGCAAAAGTATCCTACCATGCCCAGGAAGGAAAGGAGTTGCTGTTTTGTAGAAGGGGTTAGGGCTTGGGAGATTAGCCAGACACGATCAGCAGGGAGAGCATGTATGTTTTCATGAAGAACTATGTTGGAATAGGTAATAGATGAGGAAGAAATGTGGGCTTGACTGAAGTAATGGAGGCTGTCTGTGAAGCCTTGCGGCAGTACAGCCCAGGTAATTTGCTGAGCCTGATGCGTATCAGGGTCAGTCCAAGTGAAAGCAAAGAGAGGCTGGGATGAAGGGTGCAAGGAATAGTAAAGAAAGCAGGTTTGAGATCTAGAACAGAATAATGGGTTATGGAGTGGTTGTGGAGGGAGGTATTGAGGATAGGAGAGTATATGGCTTTGGCACCATGGGGTGGATAGGCAAGACAATTTGGTTGATAAGGCACAGATCCTGAACTAACCTGTAAGGCTTATCCAGTTTTTGAACAGGTAAAATGGGGGAATTATAAGGAGAGTTTATAGGCTTTAAAAGACCATGCTGTAACAGGCAAGTGATAACAGGCTTTAATCCTTTTAAAGCATGCTGTGGGATGAGATATTGGCATTGAGCGGGGTAAGGGTGATTAGGTTTTAATGGGATGGTAAGGGGTGCATCATCCGTCACCAAGGAGGGAGTGGAGGTGTCCTATACTTGTGAATTAAGGTGGGGAGATACAAGGAGAGGATGTGAAAGAGGCTTTGAACCAGGGCAAAAGATGGCAATGAGGTGTGGCTGTAACCCAGGAATAGTCAGGGAAGCAGATAATTTAGTTAAAATGTCTCGACTTAATAAGGGAGTTGGGCAGATGGGGATAACTAAAAAGGAGTGCATTAAAGAATGTTGTCCAAAGTGGCACCAGAGTTGGGGAGTTTTAAGAGGTTTAGAAGCCTGGCCGTCAATACCCACAACAGTTATGGAGGCAAAGGAAACAGGCCCTTGAAAAGAAGGTAATGTGGAGTGGGTAGCCTCCGAATTGATTAAGAAGGGGATGGACTTACCCTCTACTGTAAGATTGACCCAAAGCTCAGCGTCCGTGACGGTCCAGGAGGCCTCCAAGGCGATCGGGCAGCATCAGTCTTCAGCTGCTAAGCCGAGGAGATCTGGGAAGGAGTCGGCCAAGGAACGTTGGGTTTGGGTTCCAGGGGCTTTAGGAGCGGCGGCGATGTGAGTTGGACAGTCTGACCTCCAGTGGGGGCCCGCACAGACAGGGCACGGCTTAGGAGGAATCCTGGGCTGCCGGCATTCCTTGGCCCAGTGGCCAGGCTTTTGGCATTTGAAGCAAGGTCCACGAGGATGTTTTGAAGGAGGCCCTGGGAGCTGTGGCTTGGATGTTCTGAAATTTTTGTATGTTGGAGACGTGGTTGTGGGTTGTCTTACAGCAGAGGTAACGTAACTCAGAAATGCATTGCTGTCTGGCTACCTCCTCTCTATTATTTACACCTTGAAGGCGAGGTTGATTAATTCCTGTTGTGGGGTTTGAGGGCCGGATTCCAATTTTTGAAGCTTTTTTCTAATGTCAGGAGCTGACTGGGTGATAACACGCATATTAAGAATAAGGCGGCCTTCTGGCCCCTCTTGGTCTAGGGCGGTAAAGTGTCTAAGGGTTGCTGCTAAGCAGGCGATGAACTGGGCTGGGTTTTCGTCTTTACCTTAGGTAGTTTCTTTAAGTTTATCATAATTAACAGCTTTGTAAGCTGCCTTTTTAAGCCCTTCAAGTCGGCAGGAAACCATGTAATCTCGCCTAGCTATACCTGGGGAATCTGCCTGACAGTTCCATTGGGGATCTTCTCGGGGACCTGCTCTAATGCCTTCCTGGAGGTCTGGCTCATGAAGCCGGCGATTATCAGCGTGAGATTGGGCTACAGAAAAAACTCCCCCTCATCTGGGGAGAGGGTAGAAGTTAGGATGACATTTAAGTCACTCCAGATCAAATTGTAGGACAGAGATAGATATCAGAATTCCTGTATATATTTAGTGGGGTCTGATGAGAAAGAGCCTAAACGCTGGCTGATTTGGGAAAGGTCTGATAGAGAAAAAGGCACATGTGCCCTGACTATGCCTTCAGCTCCAGCCACCTCTCTAGGAGGAAATAGTTGGGCAGGTGGGGGAGAGCTAGGTGCAGAACGAAACTGTAAACCAGACCAGGTGTGAGGAGGAGAGGTGATAGAAAGATTAGAGGGTGGGGGAGCAGAGGCTGAGGAAGAATTGGGGCCTGGCTCGGCCTGGCGAGGAGCAGCCTGGGGAGGAGGGGAGAGGCCAGATGAGTCTAGAAAAGGAGGATTCAAAGGACTCAGAGCTTGGGGTGGAGACTGAAGGAACAGACAGGAGAGAAAGAAGAGCTATTTGGAATGAGTCACATCGGGAGCAGGGACTAGGGAGGGACCAATGTGTAAAAGAATGCCTGGACATCAGGCACCTCAGACCATTTGTGCATTTTTCGACAAAAATTACCTAGACCTTGTAAAATGGAGAAATCCAAAGTGCGGTTTTCTGGCTATTTCGAACCATTATCGAGTTTGTATTGGGGTCAAGTGGTATTGCAGAAGAAAATAAGATGCTTAGATTTTAGGTCAGGCGAGAGTTGAAGAGGTTTTAAGTTCTTGAGAACACAGGCTAAGGGAGAAGAAGGAGGAATGGAGGGTGGAAGATTGCCCATAGTGAAGGAGGCGAGTTTAAAGAGAAGGGTAGAGACAGGGAGAGAAGGGGTGGGGGGTGCTTGCCCCCCAGGAAAGTGGAAATGGGGTGGGAGGTATTTGCCCCCCAGGAAAGTGGAAGAGGGGTGGGAGAATTAGAATTATTTTGGGGAAAGTGGAAGAGAATGGGGTGGGAGGTATTTGCCCCCCAGGAAAGTGGAAGAGGGGTGGGAGGCACTTGGCCCCCAGGAAAGTAGAAAACGGGCGGAGACAGGGAGAGAAGGGGTGGGGGGTGCTTGCCCCCCGGGAAAGTGGAGAGAAAAGAGAGGGTAGAGACATGGAGAGAAGGGGTAGCGTGAGTAGTCCTGGGCTGCAATGTGGTTGAGCAGCCAAAGCAGGCGTCCTCGCAATTGACTTGCCACCAAGGGAATGTGGGTGAATGATCAAGGCAGGCGTCCCCGCGGAGATCAGACACCAATGGAATGTGGGTGAATAATCAGGCAGGCGTCCCCGCAACAACTAAACACCAAGGGAAGGTTGCCTTCCTGAGTCCGTGACCGGCGCCGGAGTTTTGGGTCCACGGATAAAATGTGTCTCCTTTGTCTCTATCAGAAAATGAAAGGAATTGAAATTAAGAGAAGGGAGAGATTGAAGGGTGGCGCCAAAATTGAAAGAAGAGGTTGAGGGATAGTGAGAGAGGCTGGAGAAGAGAGTAAAAAGAGGTCGCTTACCCGATTTAAAATCGGTGAGATGTTCCTTGGGCTGGTTGGTCTGAGGACCCGAGGTCGTGGGTGGATCTCTTCACGGAGTGAGGGTGAGGACAGGGGACTGGTCTCCCGAAGGAGTCCCGCTGACCCGGGTCTTCGGCACCAAATGTCTCACGCGTCCGTGCGAGGAGACCACCAAACAGGCTTTGTGTGAGCAACAAGGCGGTTTATTTCACCTGGGTTCAGGCGGGCTGAGTCCAAAAAAGGAGTCAGCAAAGGGTGGTGGGATTAGCATTAGTTCTTTTTTTTTTTTTTTTTTTTGAGACGGAGTCTCGCTCTGTCGCCCAGACTGGAGTGCAGTGGCCGGATCTCAGCTCACTGCAAGCTCCGCCCCCCGGGTTCACGTCATTTCCTGCCTCAGCCTCCCGAGTAGCTGGGACTACAGGCGCCGCCACCTCGCCCGGCTAGTTTTTTTGTATTTTTTTAGTGGAGACGGGGTTTCACCATGTTAACCAGGATGGTCTCCATCTCCTGACCTCGTGATCCGCCCGCCTTGGCCTCCCAAAGTGCTGAGATTACAGGCTTGAGCCACCGCGCCCGGCCGGGATTATCACCAGTTCTTATAGGTTTGGGATAGGTGTACAAAGTACCTTCTGGAGGGTGGCCGGGAGAATATCACATAGTACCTTCTTAAGGGCGGGAGGGGGACAATATTACACAGTACTTTCTTAAGGGCGGGGGAGAATATATCTTTTCAGTTAGGGTAGGGCAGGAACAAATCACAATGGTGGAACGTCATCAGTTAAGGCTGTTTTCACTTCTTTTGTGGATCTTCAGTTGCTTCAGGCCATCCGGATGTATACATGCAGGTCACAGGCGATATGATGGCTTTTGGGCTCAGAGGCCTGACACATGCTCCGGCTGGAGTAAGCGGTAGATGTTCAGGGAGCACAGAGCAGGGGAAGACTTGAAAGGCGGTGTCTCATCTCAGCCAAGACCTGAAGGATTGACAGGAAGTTTCCAGGCAAAGGAAGAACTATGGAAAGACTCAGTGTTTAGAACAAGCACCCCATGTTTGGGGAGCTGCAATTGCTTCAGGTAGGGATGGGCTTGGTATGAGACAAGCAAGGTCAGTTCATGAAAAGCTAGATAAGTCCTGATAATTGCCTCTGGCTATTCCTGAAGGTAGTAAGAAGTTTTTCAAGGATTTTAACGGACTTGATATGCTTTGTGGAACATTCACTGCAGTTGTAGTCTTGGAAGGGGGCCAAATAGACCCACTCCCTCCTTTGAGAGACTTTCTTCATTTTGGCTTCCAGGAAAACGTACACTACAGTTTTGCTCCTACTACCTCTGTTCATTCCTTTGCTGGCCTCTTGTCTTCTCCCTGATTGTTCATGTTGGTGGGTCCCAGGGCTTCCACTTTTTTTCCCTCCAATCTACTCCCAATATGGCAGCCAGATTTAAAACATGAGCCAGATCAGTCCTTTCTCTGCTAAGGACTCTCCAATGGCTTGCTGTTCTACTCAGAGTAAAAGTCAAAGTTCTTACAGTGGTCCCCGAGGCCCTACATGATTGATCTCCCTTTCTTTCCACCACCAGCTCACTCTGCTGCAGCCACCCTGTCCTGCTTGCTGTCTCCTGTACACACCAGCAATGCTTCCACCTCACGGCCTTTGCGCTGGCTCTTCTGTCTGCCCAGAATCCTCTTTGCCCAGATATCCTGCGGTTCTGTCCCTGATCTTCAAGTCTCTGTTCAAATGTCACCTTCTCAATGAGACTTTTCCTGACTGCCCGATTTAAAATTGCAACATTTCCTTCTACCCTGACACTTATGATACCCATTTCCCATTCCCTTTTCTTTCTTTCTTTGTAGCCCTTATAACCTTTTTACATCTTATATAATCTCTGAATTTGTTATGTTTATAGCTTATTGACTCTTACTCCCACTAGGATGTAAATTCCACAGAGATGGAGCTCTTGGTGTCTTGTTCACTGATACAATCCAAAAGTCTCTTAGGATGTCTCCAGCTACACCCTGAGGCTTTCCCCAAGAATTCCCCTCTACCTGGAGGGGACTGTTCCCAAGTCCATGAGCCCAGAGGATCCCTCAGAGACCATATAACCTGGAGATGATAAAGCTGCCTAAGACATAGCTGATTATGAAGGAGAGAACCCTGGAATTTGAGCAGATAAGGTGGATGTGGAGTTAACTGAACATTTCCCAGCTCTGTGATCTTGGGCAAGTCACCCCACCTCACTGAGGTTCAATTTCTTTGCCTGTGAAATGAGGTTAATATTTGTCCCTCCTGCCTTGCAGCGTGTGGGGGAAGTGTGGCCTTTTAGTTTAAATCTCTGTGCTTTGGCAGGGCTCGATGGCTCACACCTGTAATCCCAGCACTTTTAGCTGCCGAGGCAGGTGGATCACCTGAGGTCAGGAGTTTGAGACCAGCCTGGTCAACGTGGTGAAACCCTGTTTTTACTAAAAATACAAAAATTAGCCAGGTGTTGTGGTAGGTGCCTGTAATCCCAGCTACTCAGGAGGCTGAGTCAGGAGAATCGCTTGAACCCGGGAGGCAGAAGTTGCAGTGAGCCAAGATCCCGCCACTGCACTCCAGCCTGGGTAACACAGCAAGACTACATCCCCGATAAATAAATAAATAAATAAATAAATAAATAAATAAATCCCTATGCTTCGATATCCTAAGGAAAAGACCCACCTGCAGCTTATGATAACACAATGGCTATGTCTATATTTGTGCCAATTGGCCTTGATGATAAAATGTCTGCTGTGGGGGAGGATATACTTGTGTTCAAAATTCAGAGATCCTGAGAGCATCAGGATGAGGTGGAGAAAGAGTGAGATTATGGTGTTCCAGGCAGAATGGGCAATATTCACAAAGGTGGAGGAGGGATGTTCATGCCACGGTCAGGGGCTACTGATATGGGAAACCTAGGCATTGAGAGGATCAACCACTTTCCAGAAGTCCTAATAGACCCTCCATGGACTCTAGGATTTTCAAGTCCCAGGCCAGCACCTTCCTGATCACTCTGTCTTCTCGAAGAGTGATAAATGAAGTTGTTTTCATAATACAGTGACATTTTCAGGTCCATTTCCTCAGACTCACTGCGTACTTCATGAACCATCGCACTCCTGTTTAAGCATCTGGGCTGCATCTGCATCCAGTCTCCAAGGGTCTTATCAGAACAGGAGGTAAACCCAGGTTATTGTCCCAACTTTGCCAGTCACTTGGGTCCCTGACTATTCCACAGCTCTGAGTCATAGATCACCATTTCTCTTTTAACCTAGTGACAGAAGTTTATGACTAGTTGGATCATTGCTTTTTATACCTTATTAGCTTTGTCTAGGGTTTATTAGTCTGTAATTTCAGATTGGGCCCCAGGGGTATTTCTGAATATAATTGTGTGTTTTGTGTGGGGGTGAGTATGCATGCAGGGATAGTCTATGGCTTTAAATCTGAAGTTTAACTGGAAATAATAATAATAATTACTAATTAACAATGTAGATTAATATAAAATTTTATTGATGAAAATAATAGCAGCAGCCATCATTTATTGTGTGCTTATTATTTGCCAGCCACCATATTAATTTGAGGTAGGGACCATTTAAGGGTAAGAAAATCAACCACACAACATCAGTGATGGAGCTGGGATTCAAATCCAGGCTGACCAAAGAGTTCACTCTATTCTTTACAATCACTGCATCCTCAAACAATCCCCTCCTCCATAGCTCTTTTCTTCAGTAATGGTTCCCAACTCTTTGCTGTCTGGACACACTAGACAGATGATATTTGGCCAGAATAACCCAGTTCTGAGGCCCAGCTCCAATTTTTAGTGCATCCTGCCAAGTTGTCTGTTGGCTGGCTCTACCTCCATCTGCAGCTCTCACTGACTATGGCCCAGCAGTGTATCCAACAACATTGTGTGAACCTCTGCTTTAGGAGACAGGCCATACCCTCCAGTCCACTCTGGCTCCACTCCACATCCCCCTCCTAACTTCTCATACCTCCCCCTTTGAAATCTCCCCTTGAGTTAGGCCAAGTATGGTTCTGGAGAGGCCTCACAGGTGATGTTCTCCTGACCTGGAATAAGCTCTGCGTCCTTTTCAGCTATTCATGCCACCAGTTCGCGTTCCTACATTTTCCAGGAACCCTTGTTGTACCAAGCAGGGTTCTCAGGTTGCCAACCACAGAAGCAGACCCTTAAAAGACCTTATTGGAATGATATGGGAAAGCTCACAGAATTTACAGAATCTGAACCAGCAGGCCCCAGGAAGAGCAGTTAGGGGACCTGAGGAGTCCAAGTAGCAGGAGTTAATGGGAAGTCCCTTCAGAGAGCTTCCATCCAGGATAGATTTTCCACCCTTATGTTCCTGTACTCAAGATTCAAATCCCAGCCGGGTGGGGTGGCTCTTGCCTGTAATCCCAGTACTTTGGGAGGCCGAGGCAGGCAGATCACGTGAGGTCAGGAGTTTGAGACCAGCCTGGCCAACATGGCAAAACTCTGTCTCTACTCAAAATACAAAAATTAGCCAGGGTGGTGGTGTGCACCTGTAGTCCCAGCTACTCCAGAGGCTTAGGCAGGAGAATCACGAACCCGGGAGATGGAGGTTGCAGTGAGACAAGATCATGCCACTGCACTCCAGCCTGGGCAATGACAAAGCGAGACACTGTCTCAAAAAAAAAAAAAAGATTCAAATCCCTGGAAGAGAGAGTGTGAATGGCCTAGTTTGGGTCTTTGGGCCACACATACCCATTGACCATAGCACTTTAATTCATAGTCCCACCAAGTCCACCCACATGCAACTAGTTGGGGACAGTTTATTAAGGGATAATTAAAGTGCTGCAATCAGGCTGGGCTCAGTGGTTCAATCCTGTAATCCCTGTACTTTGGGAGGCCAAGGAGGGCAGATTACTTGAGGTCAGGAGTTTGAAACCAGCCTGGACAATATGGTTAAACCCCGTCTCTACTGAAAATATAAAAATTAGCCAGGGACGGTGGTGCACACCGTAATCCCAGATACTTGGGAGGCTGGGGCATGAGAATCACTTGAACCCAGGCCAGCCTGGGTAACAGAGTGAGACCTTGTCTCAAAACAAAAAGAAAAAAACAGTGCTGC